TATATATATAGATATATACATACACACACACACACATACACACACACACATACATATATATATATGTATACATACATACACACACACACACACACACACACAAACACACACACACATATATATATGTGTGTGTTTGTAGATACAAATACACAATCAAAGTACGTAAATGAATACATGCATCATTTTTGGCATGTGATGTACCATCGGATATAGTCACATCTCACAACCCCACTTATAAATACCTTCACCAGCTTCTTCCGCTGTCTAGCGGTTAATCTGGCAACGTGCGGTTCAGCAGAACCAACACTAACTTTCTTAGAAGCCTGTACGTCCAGGAGGACGTTATCCTTGTTGCCATAGTAATCTTCCCCGGCTGTGTCATTCACTGTGAGCACCTTCTGAGCACCCGTAGCTGACTTGGCCAATCTGCGTGCCTTCCCCATACTGCCCCAGATTAACTTCTGGTTGCACAAATGTACTGTGTTACTTGTACTAGTATATAGTATTAGGTATGCTGGTGTTGTGTGCCAGGGTGTTACCTGGACCTATATAATCTACGGCCGTCTATCGCAGCCTTATGGGGAGGTAGAGGGTTTCGCTACTATCACAAAACACCGTTGAAACGTGATAGTGTGGATGTTCATGTGTATACGACTGAATCTAAAGTTGTAGAATGGTTATACCAAAGCTTACAATCTACAGAAGGCTATATCATCTAGTATTTATATTTACACAAAGTGATACTAAATAAATGATATCAAGTCCTACTGATGATATGTGATAACCAGTCAAACCACACGTGCCAGTTTTAGAACATCACGACGTCACTAATATCGTACTATGACGTGTCAATGAATATGAGGTCATAAGTTGTGATCTTAACGTCATACGTCATAAAGTCATGATATGCACTTGTCAAGTGTCAAGCTAAATGTATGGACATTTGTATGATATATAAAAAGATATTATGCAGCAAACATCGTACACTGTACAACTTTTAACGCTGAGTATGGACTTATAACCATTGAGTTGTAGGGGGCGCTCGTTTTAATTAGGCGAAACATGGAGTTTTAATCATTTATTAACGCTTTAATTTGCGTCTACACCAGCCACCCAGTGTGTTTAGAGAGTACAATTGAAGTTTGCTGCGAGTGTGCCCAAGATGCCGTACAGTTCAAGGGAGCCTTTAAGTCAAGGTACACGACAATAATAAGGATACATGCATCAATGAGTAGGTGTATAGGCTTACTTTAGGCTTTGCATATTGATATGGACTTGTTGAAATGTGAGTATTGGCCGTACGCTTACTGATATAATCACGCACATGGTTATTTTTAGCACCCGAGAAAGTACAGATGCTCCTGCGTACGTGGACATATGCACAAGTATGTGGATTACCCTTTACATATACCAATATGCAAGTGTCGAACATTTCTGTTTCTAGTAAAAATTGGTATAGAATATTGCTATGTAGTTGAAGACATACACACCGGTGCATGGCCTTTTATACACTAGATTCCAGTGGGAATATGCTTTAAGTCCATACATACAAGTAAGTATATATGTGTATTCGCGTTATATTCTA